TCAAAAAAAAAAAAAAAAAAAAAATACTGCAGATGTGTCATACACTATCCTCTTCAGTTTTCTATATTTTGTTTTGCTGGCTTGCCTGTGCTATAATTTACATAGAGTAATGCCATACTTTAAAAATAAATTTTCTATAACTTTTGTCAGATTTATGCAATTGTGTAATCACCACCAGAGTCAAGATTCAGACTATTTTCATCACCTCTGCCAGTGCCCTCAAGTTCCCTGGCAATTAATTCACACCTCACATCCTGGTCCTTGGTAACCATTGGTCTAATATTTGTCCCTGGTTTTACTTTTTCCCAATGCCATGTAACTGGAATCAAGCGGTATGTAGCCTTTTGCATCTAGCTTCTTGGACTTAGCATGATGTTTTCTGGGTTCATCCATGTTGCTGTATGTATTGCTAGTCCCTTCTTTTTACTGCTGAGTGGAATTCCATGTATAGTCCACGTGCAGTCAGTGCATGTACCATTGGTACCAACAGTATGTTTGTACAACTGGACTTTTGGGTTGTTTCCAGGTTTTGACAATTATGGACAAAGCTGCTATAAATATTCATGTGCAGGTTTTTATGAGGACATATGTCTTCATTTCTCTTGGGTGAAAAATGAGAAACAGATTGCAGACTTGTATACTTAACTTTATAAACACTGCCAAACGCCAGGCTGGGTGGCTCAGCCTATAATCCCGCGCCTTTGGGAGGCTGAGGTGAGTGGATTGCGGGTTCGAGACCTGCCTGAGCAGCGAGACCTCATCTCTACAATAAATAAAAAAAAAAAAATCAGCCAGGCATGGTAGTGCGTGCCTGTAGCTCCAGCTACTTAGAAGGAAGGCTGAGGTGGAAGGATCGCCGGAGCCCAGCAGGTCGAGGCTACGGTGGCCGGGAGTGGCCACTGTACTCCAGTCTGGGCAACAGAGTGAGACTCCAACTCAAAAAAAAAAAAAAAAAACAAAAAAAAACAACAACACCAAATATTTGGGACTTTTCCAGATAGCTATTACTGATTTCTAATTAATTCCACTGGGGTCAGAAAACATACCTTGCATGACTTGAATCTTTTTGTATTTACTGAGACTCATTTATGGCCCAGAATATGGTCATTTTGGTAAATGTTCCATGTGCACTTAAGAATAATGCTCATTCTGCTTTGTGCAGCGGAGTGTTCTATAAATGTCAATCATTTCAAGATAGTTCGTAGTATGGTTCCAGTCTTCTATATGTTTACTGATTTTCTGTCGTCTTGTTCTATCAACTATTCAGAGAAGAGTAATGAAATCTCTAAATCATTGATTTTTCCTTACAAATCTATTCTCTTCCATTTGTTTTGTTTGTTCTTTCGAATTAAACATTTTTATGATTCCATTTTATTTCTTTTGTTGACTTATTATATATATTATAATTATATATTATGTTATGTTATATTATATTATCCTGTCTTATTATCTTGGCAGCTTCTTTGGGGTTTAGAGTACACATCTTTAAGTTCTCACAATCTACCTTCAAGTGATATTAGAACATTTTATGTTCCTGACTTCCAATGGTTTGACATATGATTTTTTGACCTTACAATGGTGTGAAATTAATATGCATTTAGTAGAAATTGTACTTTTGAATTTCAATATTTTCCTGGGCTTGCAGTATGCAGGATGATAATCTCTCATGATACTGGGCAATGGTAGTGAGGCTCAGCTTCCAGTTGGCCACGCCATCATGATGGTGAACAACCGATCCTTTACAGCAGATCATGCTGCCGGGTGGTTTTGCCCAGCTGTAGGCTAACATAAGTATTCTCAGCATGTTTAAGGTAGGCTAGGCTATGTTATAATGTTCAGTAGGTTAGGTGTATTACATGCTTTCTTGACTTATGGCATTTGCAACTTACTATGGGTTTATCGGGCAAAACTCCAGCGTAAGTCAAGGAGTATCTGCAGAAGAAACTTAAAATAACACGGTTCCATTTCACCCTGCCCAGTCCTTCTATTTCTCCTCACCTGACCTTATATTTTGTTGTCATTTACTTATACTTATGTTATAAACCCCACAATGCAAGATCATAATTTTTTGTTTAAACAGTCCACTTTCTAAGACACTTAACTGATAAGAAAAAACATTCTACGTTTAACCACGTAGTTACCATTTCTGGTGCTATTTGTTCCTTTGTGAAAATATTTCAGTTATTATTTTCCTTCTGATTTTTAAGGACTTCCTTTTACATTTCTTGTTGTGAAGTTTTGCTGGTGATGAATTCTTTCAGTTCTTTTATATATCTTAAAACGATTTTCCTTTGCCTTAATTTCTTAAATTTATATCTACTGAGTACAGAATTCTAGGTTGACAGTTTTTTCCTTTCAGCACTTCAAAGACGTTGCCCTGTTTTTTCGCTTGACCAGAGAAAACTGCTGTCATCCTTGCCTTTGCTCCTCTACCTAATGTGATCTTTTTATCTGTTTGCTTTTAACATTTTTTTCTTAATCACTGGTTTTGAGCAGTTTGTGATAGGTCTCAGTGAAGTTTTCTTAATACTTCTTTTGCTTAGGATTTATTGAGCTTCTTGTATCTGTAAGTTTATAGTTTTAACACATTTGGAAACTTTATATCTATTATCATTTAAATACTTTTCTGCCCCTCTCTTTGAGGACTCCAGTTCTGTCCTGTCTTTGGGGACATATATTTGACAGCTTAAAGTTCTCCAGAGCTCAGTGATACCCTGCCCTTCCAGAAAATGGAAAGAGAAGACATTCACTCCCCTAATTTTTTTTAGAGCAGTTTTAGGTTCACAGCAAAACTGAGTGAAAAGTACAGAGTTTCCACATGTCACATGTCCCATACACGCACAATCTCCCTTACTATAAACATCCTATACGAAGGTACATTTGTTACAACTGATGAACCTATGCTGGTCATTCTAACAGGTATCTAATTGTTTTAATTTGCAATACCCTAATAACATATGATGTTGGACATTTTTTCATATGCTTACTTGTCATCTTCATATCTTCTTTGATGAGGTATTTTACCAGGTCTTTTGTTCATTTTTAATCAGATTGTTTTCTTATTGCTAAATTTGTATATTGCATTTAATAGTCCTTAATCAGATGTGTCTTTTGTAACTATTTTCTCCCAGTCTATGGCTTGTCCTCTCATTCTCTTGATACTGTCTTTTACAGAGCTGTTTTTAATTTTAACAAAGCCCAGCTTACAAATTGTTTTTCAGTAATTGTGCCTTTGGTGCTGTCTTTAAAAAGGTCATCATCATACCCAAGGTCATCCTATGTTATTTTCCAGGTGTTTTATAGTTTAAATTTAGGCTAATGAACTATTCATTTTGAGTTAATTTTTGTGAAGAATGTAAGATCTGTGTATACATTCATTTTTTGCATGTAGATATCCAGTTGTTCCAGCACAGTTTGTTGAAAAGACTATCTTTATGCCATTGTGTTGCCTTTGCTCCTTTGTCAAAGATCAGTGGACTGTATTTATGTAAGTCTATTTCTGTGCTCTCTATTCTGCTCCATTGATCTGTTTGCCTATTCTTTTGCCAATACCATTTTGTCTGAATTACTATTAACTTTGGAGTAAATCTTTGGGTAGTACCAGTCCTCTGACTTTGTTATCGTTCAATACTGAGTTGGCTACTCTGGGTGTTTTGCCTCTCCATATAAAATTTAGAATCAGTTGTTCATATCCACAAAATACCATGCTTGGATTTTGATTGGGGTTGCATTGAATCTATAGATGAAGTTGGAATGTCTTGACAATATTGAGTCTTCCCATTGAGAAATACAGAATATCTCTTAATTTATTTAGTTCTTCTTTCATCAGAGTTTTATAGTTTTTTTCATCTAGATTTTGTACCTATTATATTTATACCTAAGCATTTAATATTTGGCGGTATGAATATAACTAGTAATGTGTTTTTAATTTTAGATTTCACTTGTTCACTGATGGTATACAAGAAAGCAATGGGCTTTTGTATGGTAGGTAACCTTGTATTCTGCAACCTCACTATAATCGCTTACTAGTTCCAAGAGTTTTGTATAAATTCTTTCAGATTTTCTACATAGATAACCATGTCATCTGTGAACAAAGACTTTTAGTTCTTCCTTACCAATCTATACACTTTTTCTTTTCTTGTCTTGTCTTAATACATTAGCTAGGACTTTCAGTACAATGTTTAAGAGCAGTGGTGAGAGGGGACACTCTTGTCTTATTCCTAATGTTAGTGGGAAAGCTTCAAGTTTCCCACCATTTGTCACCATTAAGTATAATGGTAGCCGTAGATCATTTTTGTAGATTTAAAAAAATCAAATTGAAGAAATTCCTCTTTATTTCTAGTTTACTGAGGATTTTCTTTTCTTTTTTTTTTTTT